ACTTTCTCAGTGTGATGGGAGTCCAACAAATGCCATGTGACATCTTTCATTCCCGTCTCACCACAGGCCTCTGAGGTGGACGTGGGCCACCGCTGCCTAGGTCCCAGGAGCCCACATGCATGCCCTGCCCCCCACCTCATGCACAGTCGGGTGCTCAGCGCAGCTCTGCCAGCCCTGCCCTGCTGGTGCTCCCAGCCTCGTCCGTGTTCCTTGCGCTGTCAGGGCCCTGGGCGCCGTAAGGCTCAGCAGTGTTTATCTACACATGGACACATTTTGTGCAATACTATCACCCTGTCCATGACAGTATTCCTCATCATGCTAGATTAATCATTCTGTCTTTAACAGAAACTCTCCTCCCCTAGTCAGCATTTCATGGAAGAATGGTGAATATCAGAAAACATCATAAAATTGAATTGCACTTCTAAACATGGTAAACTGATGTTTGCTTTTTGTTAATACTATTTAAGGTTTTTATTGACCTTTTAAAACTCTTCCAATCACTGCTTACACCATTTAAAACTATTTGTATTGTTAGAAAGGACAATGCACTGGCATTTAAAGCTGGATATATGTTTAGAATACTCAGTTCCACTTGTTTTTGTTTCAATGAGCGCAAGAACACATCTCCACGAGTGCAACAGTCCTTCTTGCTGAGTCATCAGAATGCTTAAATATTTGAAGATCTAAATACGTGCCAACATCCTGAGAAAACGTTTTTCACAGAAGCTCTTAGTCCAAATGATAAAAGTCTATGGTGTAATATTTGGAATAACAAGTCTCCTCTTTCCTGCCTCTATTCTCCCAGAAAAAGGAGGCAATGGAGTGAAATCTAAATGGGCACGGGCACACTTTTCTCAAAAATCTCTCTAGTTCAAAGCATTTTACTTCACATTAAGCTTCTCTCGTGTCAGCATACTGATCAGTCTGCTGTTTTCTCAGAGGGGAAACTATTTCAGTGCAGATGAGGTTTTCCTTTTTGCACGTGATATTTCAATGTATATGTTTCTGATTTATGTAAGCTATGTGTTTACATCCCTGACTTGATGCCGACACCCTAATAGTATTCTTCTCTGGAACATCTCCTTTGTTTCCCTTTTTGCTTTCTTCCAAATTTTGATTCCTTTCTAAACTATACTTCTTAGACAGGCTTCCCTTATACATTGTTCTACAGTATTTATTGGTGCAAGTCTTAAAAGACCACTAATAAACCACTTTATACACAGCATGAATGGCCACACAGCATCTTATCAAAGATCCTGGTTTGAGCCACTGAAATATAAGCATCTATGGTCTTTGATTCCTCAATTTATGTAATTCAATTAAAGATGTTTTAATCTGCAAACTAATGTAAGAGTCTAATGAGATTTATTTTCTGCAGAATAACCCTGAGGAATATCTGTGACAGACTTGTTACTGACACTTTTTCATTGGCATTCTGAGAAAGACCTGGCCATGAAACAGAGCAGGCCCGCCATACTCCCTGTGGTATGACCACTGACCGCATGGGAGAAGCCACCCTTGACAGGCAGTTTGGGCATTTGCCCACTTAGGATTCCTCAGATTTCATTAAGGGCTCATATTTGAATGGAATTTCCTTGATGTCATTTGGGTTTGGAATCTGGGTTA